CTTAAAACTTTATTCCAAGATATCGATGATATGTAGAGTCCTGCATTTATGACTAAAGGAAGAAAGGTGTGGATAACAATATTAAATATTTGACACAAAAAGAATTTTCATGTTTTAAATGCCGCTTTACTTAGCGTTTACGATGGATGTGTCATGCGCAGGAGATAGTAACTTTGCGTTGTTCGCTTGCTTTTGTACCGACATCATGAAAATAGTCCAATTTTGGCTTATCATTATTATAACAATCACTGGGTTTTTACTGTCATACAATGGTACTCACGAGGTCATATATATAGATTTACTCCACGGAAAGTACCAACGAACGATTTCTCGTTCGTTTTCTCAGTTTTCTGGTGCTACGCAACTCGTGAATAAAAATCGTTCGTTGGAAATTTCCGTGAAGTAGTCTATATTTCTGGTGCTACAAAACTCGTGAATCAAAATAGTTCGTTAGCACTTTTCGTGCTGTAATTTATTTATTTCACACATACTAATATTTCGAGTCGCACAAGTCTGTTCGAGACTACAAACAGGAACCATTTGAATGCAAAACATACAATAACACCGGTGTCAGCATAAAACGACGGCGAATTTTCGTTAACAATTTTTATTAAAAAGCTAGTGAAGTATACATAACATTATGAAAATATAAATACGATATAATTTCAGTATAAATAAATAGATAAATAAATAAATATGAAGTGTTTTTTGAATTGTAATTCATTCGCTTTTGAAAATGTGTGTACGATCTCAAGTGAAGCGAAGCGAAAACACGTTTTTATCAAACTACAAGCTACAAGTAAAAGTCTTTTCAGAAACTGATCTTAGAGCTGCAGTCCCAACGCAAACATTCTTAAAAAATTGCTTTTTTATGAGCCTTTCTTCAAACTTTCATGTAAGACTATGATTACATAAGGAACCGATGAGGCTGACTTCCTAGATAACCTGAATTACCCCGGAAAAGTATTTTGACTCTCTTCACTGAAGTTTAGCTAAGTTTGGCGTTTACCGTTTCAGTATACTAACAGTGTAAAATATTAGCGTTAACTCGGTCAACTCGCGGTCTCTGACACACCTCAGTAAACAAGCAGAGTTAACTTGTCAAGGATAATCATATGTTAATTGAACAAAAAATGTCAGTTCTATCTAGTTGAAAATCAATAGCAAGCTATTAGCTTTCGCCTCTAAATCTACCATCCAAGAAAAAAGTGGGTGGGACAGAACGCTATTACCGCACTCAAGAGGATTCAATCCGTTAGCTCCTGTAGCTCCAAGATTTACCAAATAAATGATGCTTTTTTATTTGTTTGTATTCATTCTGCAACTGACATGCAATAAAAGCAACAATCTTGAAAAAATGTATATTTATAAGCAACAATTTTTTTTAATTGATTTTTTA